TCAGTCCACCGGCCAATGCTCCAACCACTGAGCCAAACCAGCTAAGGCTGTTAGGGCTTTCATGGGCCACAGGGCATGGAAAGAAATGATGTCCTCAGGTCATTTCTATAAGCAATGCTGGGGACACCTGTGCTTGACAAGAAGTCTCTGAAGAAGCCTGTTAGGATGCATTTCAGATGGACAGGCTGGAAATTAATGAAAACCAGGGTTATTCTCGGAAGAAGCACTTAAGTCACTCCATTCAGGACAGGAACGATGACTTCAGCAAGGCCCTTGGGTTGCGAGGCACCTGAGATAGGCTCTTGTGGGTTTAGTTGCCTGTCACCCATTTTTCCTGCTGGAAAGAGCATTGAAACTGCCTTCGGTCCAAGAGCTGAGTGAGCATCGGAGCCCAGGCGTCTTCTTGCGCTGCGTCCTCCTGGTCCAGGGACCGGCTCGGGGATGGACGTGTGCCCCAGGTTGGCGCAGTCACAGTGGAGCCAGAACTTGCACAGGAGCAGCTGAGGACAAAGCTCTCTCTTTCTCCTTGGACTTGAAACAATAAAAGCTGGTAATGACTGGATTCTCTTTGGTAAGTCAGAGGAGGGTGTTCCCATGAGAATTTTTATCCCATTACATGAGCTTCAGGAACTGGGGGGATTTGCGTTATTGAAGAGGAAAATGCATTATTGCATGAAATCCAAGTATAGAGTAAACCAGCCCTCAGAAGTTAAATCAGAGAGAAAACGTCCCCAGGAAGCAGGCTGCGTGCTGCCTTGTCTCCCTTCTGAGGGTGTAGCTCCCTTGTGCCTCTGTTCAAGGCTGTTTCCCTCAATGCTCCAGGCACAAGGCAGAAAAGCCTCTGCCTGCCTCACCTCACTGCTGGGCCAGCTCACTCATAGCGCCCACTCCTGACTCCTGGCGAAGGCTTGCACAGGCGTCCAGCGCTGGTCCAGCCTGATCCGAGCAGAGCAGCAGGGTCCCGTGCTAGGAACTTGGCCACAGAGCTCTACCGGGGGGCGGGGGGCTCAGCTTTCAAAGAACGGGCTTTACAGACAACCCCAAATACTTGGCACACACGCATATGGAACTCGTCTTTTGCATTCTCAATGAGAAGATTTTCACCTTGGTAAAAAACGCACAGGCTGTTTTAGGAGATGGGGGTCGCTGCCCTTAAGCGACACACCAGTCGGCTCTGACCGAAGTCCCCGTGCGGGGTGCGCTCCACAGCGAGCAAGAAGAAACAAACCGGCTGGTTTAACGGCTCCCACTGCCCTCCCCAATTAGGTCAGAATTCCAACAAGGAGTCAGTCAATCCCTCCAGGGACACAGTCCCACCCCCTCCACACCAGCCCTCACTCCAGTTGCTGTTTGTTACGATGTCCCAATTCACAGGAGGTCCTCGCCTCATTCACCCCAACAGCATTTCTTGGCCCAGTCCATCCTGCCTCCCTGCCTCCAAAATAAGTCGTGATCCTCTCCGCCCCCCTTATTAGCTGCGTCACTTTGGGAAGAGCACTTCATCTTTCAATCTTCAACTGGGTTACTCATCTAGAGATGGGATAACAAGAGTACGTCCCTCAAATCTGACAATATCCACCCAATACCGAAGTTAGGCAGCAGGTCCGCTGGGAGTCTGTCCCACAGATAGAGCCACATGCGTGTGAAATGACAATCATGAGGTTCTTCTTCGTATCCTTTGTGAAAGCAATCCAATTGGCCATCAATGGGGATCCATTGAATAAACCATGCCACACTCATCTCCTAGATCTATTAAGAAAAAAAGGCAAGACACAAAATAGGGTGGGTTTATGGTATAATAAAAAATATTGGGTCTTTGTCCCCAGTTCCTGGCACACAGCACCTAAAACCGGAATTTGTTGTCTTTTGTGTGCTAATGAGATGACTCAGGCTGGGGCCCTACATGTCTTCAGGATGGGGGCTGAGGTCAGAAAGCCATGATTATAAAGGGTTGGAGCTTTCGGACCCCCTTTCATGACCTCCAAGGAGGGGAGAGGGGCTGGAGATGGAGTGGTTTAATTAACAATGCCTAAGTAATGAAACCTTGATAAAAACCCCTAATGGGGTCTGGGAATTTCTAGATTAGTGACTACATCGATGTGCTGAGAAGGTTGTGGGCTTGGACAGGGTATGGAAGGTCTGTGCCACCTTAATATCCCCTCCCCCTCTGCAGCTCTTCCATTTGGCTGTTCCTGAGTTGTATCCTTTATGATAAAGCTATAACTACAAGTAGAAAACTTTCCTGAGGTCTGTGAGTCATTCTAGCTAGTTATCCAACCTGATGGGGGGCAAGGGTTGTGGGAACCACTAAATTTGCGGTCAGCCAGGCAGACATGGGGGTCCCCTGGGGACCCCAGTTGTGCTGGTGTCTTCAGTGGGGGAAATCTGGCACCACTGAGGCCTTAACTGGTGGGATCTGCTGTTCACGCTGGATAGAGTGTCAAAATTAAATTGAATTGTTGGACACCCAGCTGGTGTCGTAGAATTGGAGAATTGGTGTAGAAAAATGGCACATCTTTGTTGTCAGGGAAAAGAAACCCACATCTGGTGTAAAAGTCCCAGTGTTGCATGCGAACATTTGCGCCCTGAGAGAAGCAGGACTAGGTGTTTGTATTTACCCGTGTTTTCACGATGAAACAGTGAAACGTAGACCAGAACTCAGTAAAAACGACGACCTTGAGCAGAGTGGGCAGAGGCGGGGGGCGGGCAAAACTTCCCTGTGTACAATGTTCTTGCAGTTTTTTCACTGAACCGTGTAAGCGACCCACTCCCTCCTCCTTCCCGGGCTGGTGCACGTCCAACACCAGCATAACCACAGGGGGCATCTGTGGTGAGAGTCACGGTGCAGGGAGAGGTGGAGATGCACTGAGGTGTGTGTCCCTCCGCAGATGAGCAAAGCTCCTGAGGAGGCCCCGAGAAGGCCCCAAGAAGGCCCCGAGAAGGCGCGATGTTCCTATGGAGGCTGCGAGCCCCTGCCGATGCCAGGAGCCAGACTGGACCCTGCTGGTTCCTGACAATCATGTAAATCAACAGGAATTGACACGAAGCAGCTTCACGGTGGAGACGGAGGGAAAAGGCCGGGGGAGGAAAAGGGAAAGAGAGGAAGGGAGTGGAAGCGGCAAGTTCATGTGCATTAGACACCTCCTCCGTCCCACGAGACTCTTCCTCTCCCACATGCATTTTTAATGTCTCTACCGCTCCCATTTACCCCCCAGCTCTTGCCATCTGTTCAGCACCGCATTGTTCTGGAAGGGTGAATGAGACGTGCCTGGCACAGGGCAGCTGCCTTCATTCATTCTGGTCCCTGACAGTTTTACTGGTTCTCACAGTTTCCCTGTGCTGAAAACCACTCAGATCTCAACAATTTTGAGCGTTCCTGCCAGCAAAGAATAAAGAAACTGCATATTCAGTGACTGAAGGACCCCCGTGGGTTTATAACGGTCTGAGTAACAGGTAACTTGATTTCTCTTAAGCATTGAGATACTTAAGAGTCTATAAAAGAATTTTGGGATTTAGGGAATACATGTCTTCCGGGAGCAAAAAGTAATTATCTTGACAATTTCGATAAATCAAATTCTATTACTTTGAGGAACATTCTAAGTTCAAAGATGTGCTTCTGTGAGAAACTTTCAGTAAAAATAGGAGCTGGTGACTCGTTTGGGGCAAATTTTGACTCTTGGAAGACTGTATCTTATGCCTTGAGTTCAGGATTTTAAAATATTTGCTGCATCCCATCCTTTCTCTCCACTTGATCTCTCGATGGAGCTATGAGGTAGGCAGGGCCAGTATTATCATGTCCATTTTATAAATGAGGAAACTGAGGCAAAGCCAGGTCTGCAAACTCAACAGCCCCTTCTGCTGGGGCTCACAGGTGTGCAAGCTGGGCAGGTGAGGGAGGGCCTCATGCTCTGAGGGGCTGTGTTTGGTTCAATATTCTGCTGTTACCATCTTGAAATTCTCTATACTTTTGAACCAGGAGCCCCGCATTCCCTTTTTTGCACAGAGCCCTGCGAATCCTGTAGCAGGTCCTGCTCACAGCTCCATGGACTCCTCTCTGGACTCCACCCAGATCCCAGAAACACAGCCACATCTGGGACTGGAGTCCTGAGACTCCTCAGCTCTTCTCCCCCTCACCTCCGGGTCTGCAGGGTCTGAGGGCTGCCGATTCCAGGCCCTGATTGTGCCTCCAGTGAACACAGGCAGTGCCCCTGTGCAGCTTCGCATCCCGCAGAATAAATTAGTACCCAGCCCTATCAGTTCATCAAAGTCAGAATCTCCTCAAATGAGTTGAATTAAAATAAGAGGCTCTTGGGTTTTCTCAGGTTCAACGTGACGAAACCCACTCAGAATACTGGATTCCTCTTTGCTCTTTAGCTGGGTCTCTGTCCAGTTCCCTGCCTCTGATGGTCTCCAGTTCTTGACTCAAAAGAAAGGAGAAAGAGAGAAAGGGAGGAAGGGGGGGGCGGAAATGAAGAAAAGCCCCGTCCTTCCTGACACTCTCAACTCCCAGAGACATCTTATAAGTCTCAAAGGCTTAAGAACATTGTACTTGGTAGATTAAGATCAAACAAAATGTGGTCACTTCTGGCTACTAATTCTCAAGAACCGTGAGCGGCAAAGTGAAACAAAACGCCCATCCGAAAGCTGACGAGGCCCACCTCTGGCTGCGCCTCCTCCTGGAACCGTCCCGAGCCCCGGGCCTGCGGGGCCGGAACAGAAAGCTCCACATTCTACGTGGGGGAACCGAGGGTCCCAGGGGAAGCGGCCAGCTCTCTCCCCACACCGGTCTCCTCCCAACCGCTCGAATGCCTCATCTTCCTCGGATGGTCCCCAAGTCCTACTCCTTCCTTAGTGCTCAAGCAGCCCCAGCTCGTCTGGCTCGTCTTGACTTTGGGGGGTCTACTTCTCGAACTCGAACAGCCTTTGCCCGCCCCAGAGGACCGTGCGGCAGTGATGTGCCAGGCCTGTAACACCAGCGAGAAAAACCCACAAACCCGAGCAAACGCTGAGATTTCCTTTATTTTGCATTCGGCAGTACTTCATGAGCGTTAGCACAATGCATGGAACTCCCGCCGAGACAGTCTTGCCACCGAGCCGGTGAGTATGCGTGTTAAAAATGTAATTCAAACTCTAAGGAATATGAGCTTGGATTCAGAACGCAACGTAAAATCTCTCTACGTAGGGCAGCTTTACTTTTTAACAGAGTCGCAAAAAGCAGTTGAGGGAGAGAAGAGCTTCACAATAAATAATTGCTTCTCTAAACTAGACACGAGCCTGCCAGCAAACCAGTCCCTTTCGTTTCCTCGGGTAGACATTCACTTTTATACCTGCCATAACTTATGAGATCCTCATAGAGTATTTAACATTTGGTCAAGGCTAATACTCTGTCATTCACCACCTTAAATATCCCCAAGTCTCGACCTCAGCGCGCACCCCAATGCTAGTTCTCACGTCTGCTGTGGGGAGAGGCAGGTGGCCTGCCCCCCGTGATGAGCTCACACCCACATCCCACGCTCAGACGCAGTCATCTCAGCGTGGCTGCAAGAGCGCAGCTGAACAAGACGGTGGACCTTCAGGCAGGCACCACAATTCCCAGTTGTTTCCAATTATACAGATAAATAGGAATTTACATAATTTACAGAGAGTTTGTGTTCCTGGCTTATTCTGAAGCCATTCCCCAAAGATCCACATTTATTCTTGACAGCAAATATGGGATTCACTCTAATGGCCTTGACCTGGGGCTGCCATCCCAGTGGCTTCCTGCAAACAAGCCCATGGCGCACGATGCCGCCCTGCCCGGCGTTCAGGCCCCGAAGCTGCTCACTCTCCCCTTGTCACAGACATCAAGGTTCTTCTTTCTCTTCCCCCCCCTTTCTTCTTTGTGTTTGTGTTTGGGGTGGGTTTTTTTTGAGATATTCTTTTGGTGGGTACCATACACAGCTGAACATTTCTGTCTAGATCCTATAAGCCTCGAATGCCTCAAGGCCCGTACAGCTAGGTCCACGTCTGCGGCCGCCCCAGCTGGCACCTGCACTGCTCGCCGCCCCCTGCGTTAGGATCTGAGTGTGCTGTGGCAACTATGAGATGGACACCTGTTTACACCTGCAAAGAGTCACCTTGGCGTCCACCGACTCGCCAAGAAGAGTCAAGTCGAAAGCCAGCAAGTAGCTTTCCCCGCCGTGCCTCTCCCAAACCCGTCTCCTGCAGGAAAGCCATGCCCAGGGTGTCAGGCCCCAGGGCGCATCTGGGATCATGGTCCCCATTAGGGAAACTGGGGCCGTTTGGATGGGGCAATCTTGGGGTAGGGGCGTGTTGTTAGGTGAGGACCCCTTTGGGTCGGTTTTCTCCCCCAGGCAGAACTCATTCTTTGTCCTAAAAGAGGTGGAAATGTGAACCACGTGGGGGCAGGAGCCGAGGCCTTCCTGAGACAGGACGGCAGGCCTCTTCTCCGGAGGGCTCCTGGCACAGCAGGCGGAGCGGGCAGGCTGAGGCAGGGGTCACTCCACTCCCGGGCAAGCCTTCGAGGGTGGAGGTCTAAAGGCGACTCGCTCGGTCTGTCCTTGATTTCAACCTATCTTGGAGAAAGGGGCAAAAGAAAAAGGAGTGTTACTGAAGATCTCTACTGAGAGGCAACTTCTCCCCATCCCATGTCTAACACGCTCCCCATTTTGAACCCAATCTCCTCTCCTGTGCTTCTCGGCAATTTCCATGCCTGCCACGCACCTGGGACGGTGTGACGACAACCCAGCAGACGCGGCGCCCGGGAGCTCTCCCACAGACCAGCCCCATCTCTATCGTATGCTCAGGGCAGCGGCAGCTCCCGCTCTGACAATATGAATCTGGAGATTACTCCCTCGAGTCTTGCGAAAAAGTAGGGGCCATGGCTTATAAGGAAAGATTTTTTCTGCCCAAGTAAAGCTTCTTACAGTAACTTTCCAGGCCCCAGTGGGACATGTTTGCCACCATTCTCAGTAACCAAAACAGCAAAGGCAAGGCCATGCTTTTCCTATGCAGGTCCTCTTCTGACCTTGAACACACCCACACATTCCTACCCCAGGACATTTGCACTTATTGTTCCCCTGCCTGAAATCCCCTTCCTTCTCTCATCCCTCTGGCTCACCCCCTCTCTAACTTCAGGTCTTCATGCCAATGACCCTGTCCACTCAACCTCAAATAGCAACCTCCCCCAACACTTCAATTCCTGTCCCGCTTCCCTGCTCTCCCGCATGCATCTCACTCAGTGCCGGATGTATTTGTCTGCTATCTGCTTCCCTCACTATTTAAGCTCCATGAAGCCGACTCTTTGCCTTGTTCCCTGCTGTGTCCCCAACAAGAACAGTGCCCGGCGTGTCGCAGGTGCTCAACAAATCTTTGCTGAACAAATGCATGGGGGAATGTATAAATGATGCAACGGATGGATGGTTTTAATCACACCCTTCCCTCGCCAAGAGGAGTTTGGGTCTGGGGCAAGGAAGGCAGGAGGAGAGGAAAGAAAAAAGAGGCAAAGCAGGACCAGCTGGGGCCTGACTCATGCTCCCCAGGGACCTCTCTCTGCCTCCTCAGCCCCCTCCTCCCTCTCCATTTTTATTATGAATGCTGACAGATCCCTCTCCGGGCGACCAGGCACGATCTGCCACCAATTTGGAAGCCTCCTGTATACCGAGCAGGGTTTAATCTCGCCTCGATCAGTCCCTGTAGGAACCCACGCCACCTCCAGGTAGTTCTTACGAGCATGAATTACCACCCCACTGCAGCCGTGTGGGCGGGTCACTCATAATGAGTCCTGACTGACAGACTGACAACTGCATCCAGGCTGGCTGCAGGAAACCCTGAGGATCTCATACCAGAAAGAAGCAGGTACAAAAAAAATAAAACAAATTTGGGGAGCGGATGAACTTCACCTCTGTCCAGAGACAGTGGCTACAAAGCAAGAAATGATCTGTTCTGCTTTTCTCTGTAGAGACCATGTGCTGCTGTGGGCCTGGGGAGATGGGCCAGGGGCTCTGAGCAGCAGCGGCCGGCTCCCTGCCAGGCCCAGGGAGCTCCAGGCTGAGCATCACCACGCTGACCCACAAGGGACGCAAGGGGTCACTCCTAAGGCCCAGGGCAGGCTGGCCAGGGGCAGGGCAACGAGCGGCTGTCCACAGCCTCTGCCTGCTCTGTCCTCAGAGATGACTTACCAAAGGCACTGCTGCCTGTTATGGGGCACCCCACGTGCAGCGGGGCTCCCACTGGCCACCTCTCAGGCTAGATGCCACCCCCATACATGCCCTCGAAGGTGTGACGCCTGGGAAAGCAGCGTCACCTCCTCGGACGCAGCGCTCCGTCCGCCCCGCCAGCCAGCACCGCCTCTCCCTGGTCCGGTCCTTCCGCTGCCTCCGAGGTCCTGTGGGGGGAGGCCGGCTCAATGAACCCGCCCGCACGTCCTGTGGCTGGGTTTCCGGTGTCCAGTCACGCCTTCCTCTTCCCCAGCAGACATGCTGGGTCAGGGCACGGCCACCCCCTGCACCCCGCGCAACCGGGCGCCCCAGCCTTGCCCGCCCCGCGGGACAACAGATGCCTGGAAACGATCCAACTTGACCGGGCGTCCTACCTGCCGACAGCCAGGGTTCGGGTGCAGAAGTGCTCGCAGGCCAGGTCGCGGCTCGTCGCACAAGCGCAGCGCCGTGTCCCCTTGGAGGGCTGTGGGCTCCGCGGAAATGGCCCCACGGACCTCCTGCCACGGGAGCTTTCTCTGTAGTTGGACAGTCCATAGGGCACAGTGCGCCTGCGAAGCACAGAGCAGCGTTAGGGTCACGGCTGAACGAACTCACAGGAACGCGTCGTGAGGTGCAGCGATGTCCCAGGACCTGGTGTCCACACCCTCCCCTGTGCTTTGGGTCTGAGGAAGCTTCTGGAGTGAACAGTTCACCCCTTCGTTCCCCTCAACCCCCAAAAGTGTGCTGGGGACAAGGGGATGGAAAGGTGGGGAGGACTTGGGGGAGCTAGAGGAGGCCATCTCTGCAGCCTCCCAGCAGCCAGGCTCTCTGTGGGGAGCCAGCAGATGCCTGGTGTGGGCACATGGGCCCTTGTCTTTCCAAGACCGAACCGCAGTCCTCGCTGGGCAGTTCTGGTTTTCTTCCTGTACCCACGCCCCTGACACAGACGTTCCCATTGACCCGCATGCCGGCCCCAGTCTCACCCTTGAGCCAACGCCTGGCCTGGTCATCGGTACCAAAGTGACGCCTTCCTAACCCGCAGCCCGAGGCTGGCCTGGAACCCACCCGCCCATCCTGGGATTTCTTCAGTTCCCACGTGGCCTTGCAGTCGGCACTGGCTGGACCACAACAACGCAAACACGGCCACAGAGACGTCCCTGGCCTTGAACGTCCCTGCCTCGGAGAGACTTCAGAGGACGCTCCGTGCCTGTGAGGGTGGACGATGACAGAGCCCGCCTTGGGAAACGGCCTATGAAGAGAAGTCTGAAACTGTTTACCAACTTTGTTTATGGTTAGCGCTGGGAGGAGGGCGATGGTGTCACTCGGAACAATAAACGTTTAAGTTTCTCCGCTCGAGTGCATCCAGGCTGTCCCTCGCAGGGCAGGGACAGGGCTGCCGGCAGCACCGTGGGAAAAAGTTCAAAGCTTGTGCTTAGTTCATTAGCACCATTGAGCACAATTTGGGGGATAAATTACCAATAAGTAGAGGAAACTTATGTGGCCCAAAGTCACTTCTCCAGTAAGTCTCGGTTTTACTGCCAGTCCCCAGAATTAACCTCCTTGGTTTCTGCGAACCCCACAGAGTCTCACCAATCATCCACCTCAAAGGGGGATCTGACATCCTCTCCACATTGTCGAAATTAAATCAAATTGAATTTACTTTAATTTGAAACACACACCATGGAGCCTTGTTGGGGTGGTGAGGGCAAAGTGGGGGTGCCCCATTGTAACCTCACACCCAGACCTCACTTCTTCCCTGCTGGGCTGGGACTGAGGAATGCTACCGTGTATCATATGTCACCACGCCGGTGGCACTCCCTTCTGAACCGAGGCTGGCCCAGAGCGGAGCAGTCTATGCTCACCAGTCCGTCCTGTTCTGAGAATCACCTTTGCAAAAAAAAAAATCTTTCCTCAGGAATGGGAAATGGGGGTGGGGGGAGCCAAACAATACAGACATTGTTGTGAGGCAGGATTTGGTTAAAGGTATATTTTTCCAGCCATGGGGCCACATTAAATCTCTAAGTGCTGACATTAAGAAAAGGCCCCATTTCTCAGTGAAAATCACACACAAGGAAATACAAGGCTCCCATTTTCCCATCGACAGCGAGACCTGCATCTGGAATTGCCGTCAGCTGATTCTGCATTTCTGTAGGTAGAGCTACTCAGCCTCAGCGAAAACTCCGAGTGTTTTAAGGAAGGAAGCGACGCACCGCGTTCTTAGTTAATAGACGCTAAGCGCTTCGCCAGCAGCCAAGGGCAAAGAGCTAGTATGCAAACGATCCTTTGCTGTTTTCAAAAATGATTACAGAGGGGTATGCCCCTTAGTTTCTCACAGGGAGAGGTGGGGAACCTGCTCCCAGCCCAGGTGTTTGATGTGTGCGCTCTGCCGGCTGACCCGGGCCCATCCCTAACAAGAGTCCCAGTTCCCATGGAGCCCGCCTCCCACAGGTAGAAAATTGACTGGCTGTAAATCAATCTGATAAGCTCTTAAATAAGACAGTCTACCCTTGTACCTGAACAAATGTGGCTTCAAAACACCTTGGAAGGTCAGTCTTGAGTTTAGAATTCTGAGGGTCCTTGGAGTTTGTGTTGAAAGATGGCAGACCAAGGAAATTCAGCACCTACTCTTTCATGCTGCGCCACCTCACACCAGGGGGGAGGGCTCATCCCCTCCCATACAGACGCACCCACAAGCTCCAACTACCCCTCATGCTGCTGGCAACCACACCTCGGCCATCCTGTAGGCCTCGGGATATGTCCCTGGAGCCCTGCTCTGTCCCCGGTTGTCAGACCCTGGAAGTGGGCCTGGGGATATTTGGGTAGGAGATTCCAGGATCCTGAATATGGAACATGGTCTAGAAGGGACAATCTGTGGCTTTCTCCCATAGACTCCTTGCAGTGGGATTGCAGACATGGCCAGAGGAGTGGCAGAGGCAGCCCTCGGGCTCAAAGGGCCCCAGGTGGGGATCATTCTTGACCAGCTCTAAGAGTGGGTCACTAGCTCCTCTAAAGTAGGAGGTAGGTCTTCTGTACCTGTCATAAACTTAGCACCAGGTTGGACAAATGGAAACCCCTGATTGAGCTGCTGGTAGTTATTTGTGAGATAATCTAGTCCAACAACCCTGAATTCTTTCCAACCTAAAGAGTTCAATAACCACAAAATTTCATTACAAAGAACTCCAACAGTAGCCAAGCATTCACTATACATATAGTGAGATAACACCTAGTATTATTCGAGTTACTGAGATACAGAAAGGCATGTGTGTGTCTGTGCCTTCAGGAGTTCACATGCTACTGGGGTATGAAAGCAGGTAAAGGGAACAATATAAGCCCATACATACAGGTATGTGCAAGGTACACAGTGCAGAGAAGGGTTATCTGGTAATTCCATCATTAGGTTGTAAAGCACTTACATGATGGTCACTCCACCCTCTCAACAGTTTCCTGATCTACAAAAGGGCTGTTGGACAGATTGGCTGAGACATGGCACTGCATGGAAAATACTTACCAAGAGTTAACAGTAAGGTAATGCTGGCTACTCTTATTGCTTACTTAGTTTGAGATTTCAAGTCAGTTTTATCAGGCAGAAATATCCCCTCTACCAGTTCTGCATTTGAGATGTGTGACTAAGCAATAAAGAGGGGTAAGGGTAATAAAGAACTGGAGAGTCATTTGGCATAGCAATGCCACTCTTTGCCACCCTTCCTTTTGGCTGGTCCATCATTCCACATACAAGCCTAATAAGCACTTGTATTTCAGTTGTCTGAGTGCTCTTTGGCATGTGCTGCTTTTTGAATGGTGAATTGGAAAGACATAATGGTGGAACCATGAAAATGCAGTTAAATTGGCTGAGAACCTTTGACTAGTATACTCTCTGCCCAACTGTTTTAGCCTATAGGGTTTGGCGAATACAGTTCTTAATCAAGGTAGGCAGCTCTTCAATCTGTTAGTGTTTCAGTTATAACTCAGAGCTCCGTACCAAAGACAAGCAGATGAGATCAACCCAGATGCTCTTAGACAAAACAAGACACCCTCCAGCACACCTACAGATGCAACATCTAGTGTGGCGTCTCTGTGTGATAAATTGCCCCGCATCGTACACGGTCAGAACATTCATTATTTGCTCAGTGATGGAGATGTCGGAGTCTTATTTATCACTGTGTTCCTTGCTTGCCACTTTTCCCTAAATGTCACATATAAACGTTATTAAATATTAACCTTCCAAATCGCCCGTATTCATTCTTCATTGGCAGCATCATATTGAAAGCATTTTCTTTCTCTCTACAAGAAGTTTTTAAATAAGGAAAGCTGACTTCTTTTCTTTTTAAGATTCTGTTTTTAAATTCAGTGCTGCCTTTTCATAAGTGAATTAATGATCTCCATCTTTCTAATCAGGAAACTCGCTTCTACACCTGAATATTAAAAGAAAGATACAGATATTCACAAAGGCAGCAAAAGGAGCTTCACTGGCCAAATTCTAGTCTCAGGAAAGTTTATCAAACTATCATTCCCTCAAAAACCCAATTTTCACACACACACACACACACACACACACACACACACACACACGCACACCCATTGAATAGCACTTCACAAATATCTCCTGAGTGTTTTTGCTGAGCAGGCCTGGGCTAGACTCTGGGCTAGCATCTATGAACAAGACAGACAAGTGGCCTTGTACACACAGTTTTAACTTAGGTCACCAAATTGGCATTTTATGGGCTTTATTCAATCAGCAAAGGGGTTCTTTAAACTGAAAATTTCACATAAACATCCCAAATTCCAGCTTCTCTTGAATAACTTGGAGTTATGCTAACACCAACCCCGCCCTCCAACACAGCAATCATATGGAGCTCACAAAGGCATTGCGCATTATCGCTCCATTTTGCCCCAGTCCCCACCACTCCAAGTAGCTTTACACTTGTCCTTCTTTGCTCACTTTTGTCACCTGCATGGCCCTTATGGACATCTAAGTTTACAGTCCCTGATCTAATGGGATGTCCCGTAAAGCAAAGCCAGGCAGATCACATGACATGGTGATAAACTTAGCACTTTATACTATTTGTATAGAGTTGCTTTCCATTTTAAAAAGTCTAAGTTCTGACTGAGTGTCTCACCAACAAATAAGACATTTCCACATCACAATCAAATGTCAAGTTGACCATCTACCTCCTTCAGTCACTTTTCCTCCTAAAATGGGGAAGCAAAGGCAGTATTTCCTTTGGGCCCAGGGGATACATTGCCCAGAAGGCGCGACTCTACAGGCTGCTCCTGGGGCTCACTTCTCGGCGGCAGACAGGCAAGCAGGAGGCAGCCCCAGCTGCCAGGCACCATGGTCATTAGATACTACCTCCCACCCATCCCCAGAGTAACAACTTCCAGACTCCAACGCACTTTCTAACTACGGCTCGATTTCAGATTTTATTAAGTTCCTTCCTTAGCCAGCACCACTCACCTGCTCTTTGAGCTTAGCAATATCGTCTTGGGCAAAGAAGTATGGGTCCCCTTCGTTTACTATTGCTGTAACTTTAACCAGAAAGAACAGCTAGCTAAGAATTTTGTTCTAAAG